AGAGTAGTTGGTGCTGCTGTAACAGCACATCTTTTATTCCATACAATGGACTTTAATTGGTGAAAAGGGAACTGCCAAACTACCACTGTACATGTTTGGATGTAACGTGCAGCTTAGCTCTGCATTCTCTCTAACAGCAACTTACCGTACTTTTTGCTCTATAAGACGCACTTTTTTCCCCCTCAAAACTAAGGGGAAATGTCTGTGCGTCTTACAGAGTGAATGTGTGTGTGCCCGACACCCGGGATGCTGCCGGCCCGCCTGCACCATGTGGCACCACCTGGCCAGCATGCGCTCGGCGCGCCCTGCTCCACCCCCACCCCAGCGCAGGTGAGAGCTGTGCCGCTCAAGGGGAGCGGTGTGCAAGAGGAGGAGCCGCGGGCTTTAACCCCCCGGCCGCACGGAGAGACGGACTGCTCACCCCCACCGCCCAGGAAGACCTGCTGCCGCTGCGCCACCTGGAAGACCACCGCCGGCACGCTGCCGGCCCGGCTGCACCACGGCGTGCCCTGCTCTGCCCCCCTCCTCCAGCGCAGGTGAGAGCTGTGTGTTTTCAAATGGCAACCCGTCTTTTAATGAAGCCCATGGGGAAGTGATGGGGAATGTGCCTTGATTATCAGGAAGCTTTCCATGGATCCCTCCTCTAAAAACTAGGTGTGTCTTATGGTCAGGTGCGTCTTATAGAGCAAAAAATACGGTAGTGACAAATTTAGCTGGAGGGAATATGTGACAGAAGTAGTTATTTCTTCTGTCACAGGAATTTAGAGTTTTACAGCTTAGCTCTGATTTATGTTTTCCTAGTAAGAGCAATGGGAATTTATAACTCACTTGCCACTTTCACCTACTGGAATGAAATTGGGACAGTGAGCTCCAAATTTGATGTCAACTTTCCCTCTATTAGGAGCAACAGAATCGTATCATGGTCTGTTACAATCCTCATTCAATCCAATTAGGTTGGTGGATTGCCTGAAACCTTTAACACTAAGTACAGACATGGTGCCAGGTGGACTGGGATGGGGTGAAGGAATTTCGAATTTTATCCCTCTGCACTAAACCGCATCAGGGTCAACACAACGTATTTTGCAGCCTAAGACGTAGTACTAGATGGACTGAGGAGCAGGGGGGACAAGTGCAGAAGTGGCCCACCATGGCTGCTCAATCTTACTTCAACCCTGGCAAAGGAATCATGTTCACCACCACATCTGAAAGAGCCAGCTAGTTTAGGAGCTCCAGAATAGATTATGCGGCACAGACTGCTCCATCTCAAATGGGAACAGACAGGAGGTCTAGAAGAAACCATTGTGTTACTGCCACTGTTGCCCCCAAGAATCTGCAGTCTGAGGCAGTTACCCCATTTTGCCTAATTGTAAGGCTAGTGCTGAACTGCATGATGGTTTCAAGTCTTTTAAGGCAAGGGTTCTTGAACTCTGCCCTAACAAATGAAGAACAGAAAGTCTGAGCCTGTATGAGAAGTGGATTTTAAGCTGGACAATTCGGCTGGCAAAACTGCATGGATTTATTATTTATAGTTAATAGTGTGCTACATCTTATACTAAAATGTACACCTCACTCTGACCCAACCATCAGGAATGAGGGAAGGGAGCACACCTTGTAGCTCCTTGCATGGGGGAAGCATGCAGGTAATCTGGTAAAGATCCCTAACTTTGTGGTAAGAACACATGCTTTGCATGCAGAAGGTCCAGAGTTTGTTCCCCAGAATCTCCAGATAAGACCCAGAAAGACCAGTGCCTAAAATACTGATAAGCTACAGCCAATAAGCCTATAGACAAAGTGAAATTAGGTGGCTCAGCAAATTTCTGTGTTTTGATTGTGGTTATTCAAAGACATTATATATATATTTTGGAGACACTCTTACTGACAAGGTTCAAGGCCATGATCTGAAAGTTTTAAACAGTTTCTGGGGTTAAATACCAGTACTGTAAACATCAGTCTTCACTGGTATATATGTAGAGAAACATGGTTTTTCATCTGCTTCTTGGTCCAATCAAACCACTTTAGAAATCTGGATTAAGAGTGCCAGGAAAGAGTTTTAAGTAAATTTCATTTCTCCTAGCAACTGTGCACACCCTCTGTAGGCAGGAGTGCTTGATATCAAACAATGGTTTCTTGTGTTTTGGCTGATTTCAAGCTCAATTTTGACCACCATAAGAGTTAGATATATGGGGTGAGGTAGTGGGGGATGGGAGACACAACAATAGGCTAGGATCACAGGACTGTCGAATCATAGACATGAAGCAAGGCCATTTAGTTTCAAGTCTCAAAGCCCTTTATACGTTGTCTCAGTAATCCTGTTCAACAGCTTTGTGCAGCCAGTATTGTTTTCTCCATATTACAGATGGCCGGAGGGTGGGGGTGGGGGGTTAAAAAATACTGATGCCTAAGGTCACCAAGCAAATAAGCTAGGTACTTCCTGCATAACTCATACTCCTACTTGCTATACAAACTATGAAGGGCAAGGTAAGTTACTCACACCAATCTTCAAAAGAGACACACTCATGCAATCTAGACCACTGTGTGCCACAAAGAACAAGCAAGTGCACCAGATCAAGGGGGGCTCCAGAAGTTCAAGCAAAAAGGCAAACTACATACTAGGACAGAAAGCCAAGAAGATGCACAACCCACAAAGATCTCTCACCAATTTGACCTGAGTGAAAATTCCACAGAAGCATATCTTGGCAGTCAAGTTGCACTTCAACCATTAAAACCAGATTCCAAGTGAGGTAGTCCAGAGGTGGAGACAGCCTGCACAGGACTGAAGCAAGTCACATGAATCCCTTTGTTACACTGTGTGGATAACTTATGCCTGTCAGCTCCAATCCAAACAAAACAGCCCTAATATCTGAAAGAACAACATGGGATGAAGCCAAATAGGAATTAAACCTTAGGAATTAAGTCTGACTTGGTCCTTCTCAACAGGAATACTCCCATGCTATTTCCCTTACACACAAACAGTTTTTAATGAGTGTCGGGAAGCAGCCAGAACATGCACAGATGGAAAACAACTGAACAGTCTATACATGATGTTATATAGTTCTACAGTTCAAAAAATAATAAGCAAAGTGGTATTCAGAACTCTTTAACTGCATGAATCTGAAGATCATTTAACTGAATCTTGCAAATGTCCCTTTCGAAAGGTTAGGAAAAGCCTAGCTGTTTCTGCAGGCAGTCATGCATGCACAGATTCCAATCATGTTAAGTTGCTTTTCAGCAGGGTAATACCCAGTCCACATATAGTGGATAATGTGGAAAACACAATGATCTGACCCTTTAATCTGTCTAGAAGTACATTTTTGCACAATAAACTGATCAGAGGGCTAACACTAAACCCAAAAGTCCAGGAATTATGAATGCTTGTTCAGTTTGTGCTGCCCTTGCCCTTCAGCTCCACCCCTAATTCTGCTAGTACTCCATGCAGCATCAAACACTGATGCCCACATATTTCCTCAGTTCAGGAAATATGCAGTTTCTGAGACTTACTGCAAAAACACAGTTCCTCTTCTGAAAGCTGTCTCTACCCCATTCATCAAATTCCACCTACTGTGTTCTTCCCAAAGCATGCCACAGATAAAACTAGAACCCAGACTCCATATTTCAGAGAAGCTTCATAAAGATGATGTCAACTATCATTGTTAAAAAAAGAAAATGCTACTATGAAGATCTTTGCTTTGTTCTTTGCCCGGATGAAACACACACATTCTCAATTCAGACACATGAACCTCTCCTCAACATTGCTTGTGTAATACAAACAAAAATCCATGCATCAATAAGCACATTTTTATTTGCATGCTCAGTCCCCACACCACAACATCCTTATTACTGCCGACAAGTGGACAAGAAATGTCAGCAACCTCCACCCCCCAGAAAAAAACGGAATGGTTGTAGTTAAAGCAAAAATTAGTATGCCATGAGCTTCAATGACAGGGATGTAAATTCTCCTTTGCAATTGTTCTGGAAACTGAAGTCAGATTTTGGGGGGTAAAATTCCCCACTCACACACACAGCAACATGAAGACATTGAAACCTGGAGGCAAACCCCACATCACATCAAGGCATTGAGAATATGCAGAGGGGTGCAGAAGGAGGACACAGCAGACACAAAATTGTTCCCCTCAAAAAGTGAAGTGTAGCAGAATGGTTAGAGTGTTTGAGCTTTAGTCCCCATTTAGTAACGAAATTAACTGGGTCAATCAGTAACTCCCTGGTTAACCTACCTCACACGGTTGTTGTGAGGATAAAGTGAAGAGGAGCATGACCAGGTAAGCCGCCTTAAGTTTCTTGCAGGAAAAAAAAGGCCAGATATAAATATAAATAGTGAAGTAGAGCACACGACGACAGACCTCCCCCCCGCGCCACACACACACAAGCGCGCGCATACACACACTTCATTTGTGTTCTGAATGAGAACTCGGGAGTTTGTTTTCCACCCATTTCTCTGGAATGAAGGGCTAAAAAGTTCGGCTTGTGAGGCGACAGACTCGGCTTCACGCCCGATGCTCCCGACCACATCGAAGCCGCAGCTTTCAATGACAGAGAGGGAGGCGGAGGCAGGAGTGGCCAGTCGAGCAACACCCCAACTCCACCCTGGACCAAGTGCCACACTCATTTGGCACGACTGCCCTGCCAGCGGGCCGTTATAGCCTTACCACCCCACACTCACCCCCAGCCCGCCGGGGCTCTCTATTCGCAGCCTCCTCCCGTCGGGCTCCGGTCGCTCCCTCGGGCAAAACTTTCGCGCGCCTGGAGGACTCCCGCACCGCAGACCCGAGCGCCTGCCTAAAGATTGCAGCGCTCCGTCCGTGGATCTTCGCTCTCTCCGTGCCGCGTACTTCTCCGCTCGCTGTTCTGCAGCTCCACAGAGCCGTCCTTCGGCCAGCGCCCGCCTAACTTACAACGCGCAAGCCGGCAAAGGGGAAGACGAGGAAGAAAAAGAGGTTGCAGCAGGACAACCTTCACCCATCCACGTTCCCCTCCTTTTTTACCTGCCAGAATTTCGGGAAAATGGCGCGTTCCTGCTGCTGCTGCTTTTCTTGAAGATGTTCGTGCAGGATGGAAAGCTTGCAATTACTGGGCCCGTCTTGTCCCAGTTGTAGCTCTTCTTCCTCCCCACCACCACCACCACCACCAAGAAAAAAAAGGAAAACTATAACCGGCTGTCCCTGCCACGGCAGCCCTTCATAACCACAACCACCTCCTCCTTTTCCTCTTCTCCTCCATCTTTGCAGCTGGTTTTGCTCGCCCTCCGCCGCCGCCACCAAACACTAACAACAACATTCAGTGACGTCATTCGCCGTCACGTGACGGGCCCCTTGCTCTATAAATAGGCCCGCTCCCTCTCTCGCCTGGTTGGTGAGGGGGTTTGCTTAAGGAGGAGGGGTTCGTCCTGAGTGATGTTAAAGGGCCCGCTGGAAGCTAGGAAAATACCAGTCAAAACGGAATGACTTTTCCTAACCTTCTCCTTGTGTTACGTTATTAGAATGCCAACCCTATTCTCCAATATTTGTGGAAAGAAAAGAAAAAATGAGGGACGTTTATTTGTAATTTTATTTAAAGTATTCCTAGGCCTCCCTTCAGAGTAGGAATTTGCCCAAAATGGCTTACAATATTATCAAATAAATCAGCATGTATAAAAAAATACTGAAAGCACCCTAAACCTACAAAATCTGCAGCTACATTTCAGAACAGTCTGATTGTTAATTCATTATATTTATAACCCACTTTTCCAGCCAAAGAAAAAAACTGACCTTCAAGAAAGACCAAGGTTTTAAAAGATAATGAAGACAACATACCTTAAATACAAGTAAAGAATAACAGTAAAAGAAAAGAGCAGCTTGTTTGTAAATATTCCTGATTTCAAAATAAGGATCACTGTCTGATAGCCTCCTTCCTTTTCTCCATTAGTCACAGCTAGGTTCAGGTTGGAAGGGACCCTGCAATCACAATCACAATCAATTACAATCACAAACACAAACACATACACAGAGAGCGAGAGAGGGAGAATGTTCTACAGTGCTACAAAGCACTGAGGGAAATATTTACTGGCTAGTGTCTTTTAGGCACCCACCTCAACAAATTGGTAGGCCCTGGACAGGACTTGAGGCAGAAATCCCGGATTCTGCTCAGGAGAATGAGAACAGGAGGGTAGGGGCAAAAGCAGCAAAGCTATCTTTCCACATGTTGCAGTAAATAACGTAATTATTACCAGAGCTGTCTCTGTCATTAGGCTGGGTGAAGCAGCAAGTGACTGTGAAGTGCTGGAAGATAGAACTGTGTGCACGACAGAGCCTGCCCTTTACTCCTTTGTTTTGTTTTCAAGCATGGGGGATGCTGTCCCATCACCAGTGCTGAGATACTGTTCAATTACAGGATCCTTCATATCTGTAAAAGGAGGTGCCATTTTTTTCCTTCACCTGAGACCAGCCCTGTTATGTTACTCTCTGAAAACTGGGTTTAGTAAGGCCATGAAGTTCGCAGACTAAAATTACCCAGGTGCTGCACCACCGCCATGAAAGGGCCCAAGGGCAAGAAATGCCAGATTCCAACACTGAACCTGCCACTAGTACAGGTTACTAAAGGCTTGAGACTGCCTGTGGTGTGTTCCTGTATGTTGATATTGCATGAAGTCCAGTGGCTTAAAAGCCCAGACAGTATTTGTTTTTCTGCTGTGTTTTTACCTAAAAGAACAAATGCTCTTCAAGTTCATAATTCAACCAGTGTATAAAATTGTGACAGCAGCATGTGAGTGGTAGCAGGTTTCTTGGATGGTCACCAACCTCACCAACACCTTCCCTGAGGATGTTTGGACCAATGGGATGGTCTATTTGGTGTGTGTGATAATGAAGGTGGTGCTATTTAGCATGGCTCCACTCACCTGTTGCTATAACCACATTCTATAATAATCAAACAAGGCTAATACATTATCAACAATTCGAAATATACCCATCCGTCACAGGGTGTAACATGGAAAGCAATCTGGTGTTCACAAGCATGCACTGATAGACAAGACATATCTATCAATCCCTGCAGCTCAAGAGATTTATACTTTGAAAGGCTCTGAGGCTCTGAAGGATGACAACTTTAGCATCTCACCTTAATATAATTTAAACAAGATGTTGCTGGAGCAAAACATGAAGACAGGGATATGTCAGGGAAAGGTACAAGAAAAAAATAGAGACAGTTGGTGCACATGGGATCCCTACAGTTATATTTTGCAGGAATGCAAAACAAGGGAAAGCTCAGAGTTTAGAAGCAATTTCAACACCATTCATGCACTTGGAGAATTGTATAGGCAAACTCACATAGTCTCTCCCCTCAAGGAACTTGTAACCTAAAACAATATTTAAAAAAAACCAACAGAGGGCAGGAAAGAAAACTAGGACATGAAGGAAAAAATGTACACATCTGTGTGGGCTCAACGTGAACAGGAGGTGGTAAACCAGTAGAAATGCTCTACCAGTTTCTCATGTATAACATTTTACAACCCACAAGCTGGTTAAAAAACAAAAAAGTAGAAGAGGTTAAAATACTCGAAGGCTGCTACTCTCTTATTTTAATCAGACTTGACCAAAGGAGGACACATCTGACTAAACATTCTTAAGATCAGATGGTAAAGCTGTCTGGGCCAGAAGATAACCTACATTTCCAAAACAGCTATAGAGCCAGCCAAGACATTCTTGCAAAACAGACTTTTTAGAACATAAAATACTACAGACGAACCAGTGAAGCTATTTCCTGGTCAAAATTGTAACCCCCCCCCCCCCCAGCAACAATGATCATACTATTCCCAAACCAGTAGTTAACAGCACAGGGGTGTGGATAGATGTGTAGAGGTGTGTTTTGCAACCGCAAAAGTGGGTGGGTCAGTGGGTGAAGGAAAGAGTCTTAATGAAATAGAAGCACTGAACATTTAATAATCGGGCAATTGCAGGGCAGACATAAATGCAATTTATTAACCCTCTGTGGACATTTAGATGTCTAATACATGTTTAAAGGTCACTATAAAGCTATAGATCATTACAGAACTACAAAGGTTTACTATGCCTGGAAAAAGGAAAATATGCAGATACAGCACGAAGTGAACTGTGAACTGTATCAAAGGTTACAGAAGGAAAATATAAGAACATAATGTTCAAAAGATGTGTGGAAGAGACACCAGCTTTCTCATGTTTGTGTTGTTCTGTTTAGGAAAACAAGAAACATACAGAAGGGGGAAATGCATGTTCATACACATTCAAAGTTCTCCGTCTGTTTCAAAATACACAGATATGGGCCCCATGCTGTCCTGTAACTTCTTCCAGGCATATTGCAGAAAACCCCAATCATTCAAGCACAATTGCACCATGCACAGCAGATGCAATGTGGTTTTGCCATCTAAAATGTTTTTATATTCAAATTCAGAGTGAAGTAATCTAGATTCAAATCTTGAGATTCTCACTACCCTTAGATCAATGCCAGCACTCCGGTGGCCATTGTATCCCTTTCTTGTTGTTCTGCAAAAGAACAAGGCTTAGTAGGATGATGCCTACTTTAAGTGTTTGAATGCATGAAGGTAGAAAAAAGAACAAGCAAGGAACAAGTAAAACAGGCATGGAATCCTTTTTTTTTTTTTTTTTTTTTATACCATGGTTTCCATTTACCTCCCATGTGAAAGTCCTAAAAGTTTCTGGTAACGTTACAAATACAGTTGCATGTGCACACATATGTGCACGCATGTGCACGCGCGTGCACACACACACACACACACACACAGAGCATATATAGAATGCCTTGAAGAAGTTTTCACTCCATCCCTTTGAATTTTCTATATTTCACAAGTTGAAATGGATTTAATTGGCACTGTTACCATTTGATATACACAAGATACTCAACACTAGGAATTTGTAAAGTGTTTTTATTGTGGCACAGGAGTAAACAAAAGCAAGCTGGCACTTGTTGTTTGCAGCAGTATTTGCCCTGTTTTACTGTGATATGCCTAAATAAGTTCTGGTGCAACCCACTGTCTCCAGAAGTTACATACTCTAAGGGGTTGAATGCAATCCACCCAAAGGCTCCATAAGCTTATTGGAGAGCATATCTAAACAAATAGCATCATGATGACCAAGGGATTATTGAAACTTCTCCAGGATAAAATTGTAAAAAAAGCACAAAACAGGATTCGATTATGTTTCACAATCCCAAACTATGGACGTCTCTCAGTGCACCATTAAATCCATTATTACAAAAGGAAAGAATATGGCTCAACTGTGACTCTGCCTAGAAAGGATGGTCCACCAAAACTCAATAACTAGGTAAGAAGGGCATTAGTCAGAGAAGCAACCAAGAGGCCAATGATAACTCTGAAGGAGCTGGAGAAATCTGCAACTGAGAAATGAGAATCCAATCGGCAGGGGTCAGGATTGAGGGGTATGATGGGTGATGCCAAATACAGGGCACTTCTAAAGGAAAACCAGTTCATCTTCCAGTGGGACAATGACCCTAAACACACACCCAGAGTAACACCAGAGTAGTTTAAAAACAAGAATTGGAATGTCCTGGAATAGCCCAGTCAAAGCACAGGTCTCAATTTAGAATGTATGGCAAGACTAGAAAATAGCTGTTCACTGATGGCCCCCATCTAACCTGACAGATCTGGAGCACGTTGGCCAGGAAGAACAGACAAACACTGAAGGATCCACATGCACAAAGCTGATACTTATTCAAGAAGACTTGCAGCTATGATTGCTGCTGATTTCTACCAAGGATTAACGCAGGGGAGTGAATACTTATGCAACCCTCTAGTGCCAATTTGTTGTTAACTTTTGTGCCATAATAAAAATATTTTGAACTTTCACAGTGTTGAGTATTTCATGTACACCAGATAGTAACAAATGCTAATTCAACTCTTTTCAATTTAAGGTTGTAGCACAAGAAAATGAGGAAAATCAAAGGGGATATTTTTTAGATTTTTTACTATTGTTTGGAGACGTATCTGAACTCTCTCAATAGGATAGTGAGCTTCTGCTTAGGCTCTTTTATATTAATTGCACACACACTTATCCATCATATGCTAAGAGCTATAATCAGAAAGTTTATTTTTCCCCTTACTAAATGAACTTACTGCATTGTTATGTATCTTTTGTCTTGCCTATATTTTTAACTTTCATAATAAAATACATATTAAGATACAATTAAGAACAGAATGTACAACTTCATCCACTTACCATGGGGAAAACAGCTAATCATGACTACTATCTTTTGCTTTGCAGGGTGTTCTAAAACCAAACACTTCATTAAGCACTTCCTGAGAATTTAACTCTGTATTTCACATGCAGCAGAATTAAATGATAGGATGAACTACACTGCTTCAAAATGTATCTGTGCCACATTTTAAAATGTTGTAAAAATAACATTCAATGTTTTTAAAAGCATCAAAATTGTCTGCAAATAAAAATAACTTGCACGTTAGCAGAAGGGTTCAGACAGAAGCTTCCTTCCTGTTACAGATCTACTTGCAAAGAATTTACTATACAGGGATGATTAAAAATGTGAATCCGTGACCACTGCTACCTGTAACCTGAAGTGGCAAAGTTAATTCTATCATTGATACTGCTATACATATAGACTGGGCCTAGGAGCTGAGAGGAAGGAGGAGGGGTGCCATGGTTGCTCCCTTCTCTCTGGATAATGCTGGAAGTTCCATATTTTCCTGTCGAGCTGTACCAGTGGGTGGGGAGATGGAGGGCAGGTTCACAGGACACAACAAGCCACAGTAGGTTTTCACTGTTGTGTCATCCAAACCCCATAATGGTATTTCAGTGTGGTACGATTGTTTTTATGAGCCATAGTCAGAAACAACTATCTGTGGTAATAGTTTCTTGGTACTGTGGTGCTGGAGGAGACTCCTGCGAGTCCCTTGGACTGCAAGGCAATCCAACTGGTCAGTCCTAGAGGAGATCAACCCTGACTGCTCTTTAGAAGGTCAGATACTGAAGATGAAACTCAAATACTTTGGCCACCTAATGAGAAGGAAAGACTCCCTGGAGAAGAGCCTAATGCTGGGAACAATAGATGGCAAAAGGAGAAGGGGACGGCAGAGGATGAGGTGGCTAAATGGAGTCACTGAAGCAGTTGGCGTGAGCTTAGGTGGACTCCAGGGGATGGTGGAGGACAGAAAGGCCTGGAGGAATGTTGTCCATGGGATCACGATGGGTTGGACGCAACTTTGCAACTAACAACGAAACCATGATGGCTTGCTGGGTTTTCTGAATATGGGAAAACACAACTCATCATGGTACCGAGGCCAGAACCAGAAAGCCATTTGAAAAAAGCAGCCTATTGTCCTGCTTGCCAAGTGGATAGCTCGAAAGCACCACTGCTAGCAGCTATCAAAGGCATCTCCACTCAGTTCACTTTCTCCCATAAAGATCTTCTTTGGAGCAGGAGCAAGCAATCAGCTGGTCAGCAATGGGAAACTAATTCCCCTGCTACCCCCCCACACATACAAGCAAGAGGGGCAACTATCAGCTAAGTGGCACTGCCAGTGGGGGGCAGTGTTGTTCAGCTGATTCCCCTGCCATCCCCATTCTCACTTCTGCATGCTAGGAAGGCATCCCAACCACAATCAGCTTACCAGATTGAGGTAACTAATGGCAACAATCTTTCAAGTGGAAGTATCAGAGAAAAGTGGGAGTAGGAGAGGAAAGCATTCATAGCGAGCAAGTTTGCCTCCTATTTTAGTGCCACCTATGGCACTTCCATTTATCATATTTATATTTTACTCTGAGCACCAAGAATGACTCAAATCCAACCCCCCACAAGCTTGGGAATGTAATAAAATCTAGGTGCCCCAAAAGGCATTTTTTCTCACTTGCAATAGGACCTGAGCTAGGTGTTGAGGAGGAGTATGTGTTTATTTGGGAGTGAACAGTATGGAACAAGAAAAGTGAAGAATATCCCTGAGCTCACCACTCATCAAGTTACCATGTTATGCACCCCCAGGACTCGATTGCAGCTGCATCTTCCAAAGTACCAAGTAACTTGTGCTCAGTACAGCAGGAGTCTAGCAGAACTCAAATAACCATTTTTCATGCAAGGCACCTTTGATTTAGTATAATAAAGTACTGCATAACTAAGGGATTGTGCAAACTGGGGGTACAGTGATAGTCTCTACAGAAGTGACACACCAAGTCAAATTCTTCTGAGGCATTCCAACAAGCTCTGGACTGGAAGCAAGAATCACTATGGTTTTCTATGACAACAGCAGATAACCCAAAGCTTCCCTGCTCAGGTGGTAGAGGGATGGTCCTCTTCTTCAACACAATTCATCTATTTTATATATGCATATATCCTGTTTTTCAACTACAGCCTTCAAAGTAGTTTATGATATTTTAAAGCACAATCTATTAAAGAACCACAAGCAAAAAAAAAAAAAAAAAAATGAACACAACCAGCTCCAGTGAGCAGGAGCCTGCATCTGATGTCCCTTCATACAGTAGATGTCTTTTAGTCCTGTGTGGAGGCAGCCCAACTGGAGCGAACCTGGATGTTGTCTTTGCATGTTCCTGTCTCCCTCGTTTCTTCTTCCTTCCCACAGAGCAGTTGTGTCAGGGGCAAACCAACTGAAGAAGTAACAGATGTTCTCTTTGCCTTACTCTCCAAGAAGACAAGAGCCTAGAGGATGGCTACAGAACTTATGGGCCTCCACATGTCACTAGGTTCCAACTCCCATAATCTTGTCTGTTGGCTTTGATGGTTGGGGCTGATGAATTGTGTGGTCCAGCATCATTTGGAGGGGCACCTGTTCATCATCCAAAGCCTGGAGAAATATGGCCAGGCTGGTAAAGGCTTCAGAGGAGCTTTCTTCTGCCTTTGAGTGGATGGAGTGATGATCTCCAGCTCACATAGTTAGCTTGCAGTCAAAAACTGAAAAGACACATAGCACTTGCTACACTTAATGACAAATATATCCAAGCGGTCCCTACCTGTAGTCTAGTGGTACAGAAACTCAGGTTTGCAGGCCATATCCAGCCCACCCAGCATTTCCCAGGTGGTCATGTCCCTTCCTTTGGTTATTCCCTTTTCCACAGTTTACAATTCTTTCGGTTGTTCCCAGCTTTTGTGCAGTTTTTTCACATTCTAAAAAGTTGAAATGACTCTGAGGCTTTAGAAATTGGCCTGACTTTTTAAGCCTGACTTTTTAAGTTCATTCCCATCATGTTCCCCTCTTGCAAAAACAGCACCATTCCAATCAACCCTTCTCTTTGCTAGGGCCTTTGCAAAAGCAGCCCAAACAGCTTCAAGTGACTACCGTCTGCAGCATAAATTCATCTTAACTCTTCCATTTTATCCTTACAATGATGATGAGAGGTAGATCAGGCTAAGAGAGTGACTGGCCTAACAGAGACCCAGTGAGGTTGATGTTTGAATGGAGATTTAAAACCACATTCTCCCAATTCTAGTCAGAAACATTTTGACTATTACATCAGACAAGTAGAATTAACTTTGTAAAGCTCATGACCTCCCTTCCCATCCTTAAGGGGAAAAGCATATGAATTGTTACCTGCATACCCATCTTCCTCTCTCCCTTAAGACACACATGGCTTGCTACAGAAGGCACAACCTTCTGAAACATCTGTATTAGTGGTAGTTCTCCAAAAGTATATAGAGGTGTATGAGTGTATGTGTGCGCAATATAGTATACCACCAGAGAACCCTATCTCTATAGTGCTTTAGCACTCAAGGATAGGATAACTCCCTGATGTGATTCATCCTGCTCTCCAACATCTGTCTTCTCTACTTTAATTAAGGTCCTTCTTCTCAGATAAATACAATTCATGAATTAACTCTAGAATGAAATAAAAGAACCAATCCAGTAAGAAAGAAATGAAGCAAACCAAACCAAAAAGGAATTGAACTGCATTTAAACTTCTATCTTTCCTTTCTTGGATTATTCTAATAAATGGTTCTCTTGCCAAATTTAACTTCCACTGCCCTGTGTTTTATAAGAGTTTAATAATACTTTACTAATAAAAGTCCCTTAGACCAAAATAAGAGGGCAAGCCACTTACATGTTTCCTTTAAAAGAAGACCATTGTGAAACAATACTTTATTCAATTTTACTTTCTACATCTAGTGACAAAATAGTTTGAATCCCATATAGGATTGCCATTTCTGCTGTAAAGTACCATAAATGACAGTTATATAAAAATTACTAAATTCAAATTCTATTCAGGTTGCAGGTTTTTGCATTCGGAAAGAACCTTTGTATTTGCATGCTCTGACAAATAGGTTTTAGCACATGCTATTTTAAAGAGCAGCTTAATATTATTGCATCTGAGATATCTGCAGGTAAAAGCATCAAGAAAATATGTTAAGAAAGAAATTTAGCCCTCAAGTTTCTTATCATTAAACCCACTACAGGAAGTATCCATTATACACAAATGATCACATGTCATCTAGATGAGCATTTATAAAATGCAGCAATTCTCAAAGACTGCAAAGTGGGAGAAGTTCCAGTTCCCAGTTTCCACAGCACATGCAAACTGCTTAGTAAATAACTTTAAACAGATACAAAAAGATACACTCTTCTAAAAATTCTTCTACCTTGCTGGGGGAATAAGTCCATAGCTATTTTAGATTCTAGCTCCTTCTCAAGTGTTACATAGTCAGCAGCCACAGAAACATATAAAAATTAAAAGATAGAAATACTGGAGGAAGATGACACAATTAAGGGAACACATTGAAATTTAGAGAAAGCTGCTAAAACACATAGTCATCTGATTGAGAAAGAAAAGAAACACAACACATGCAGCCACCCGGAATCAGCAACACCAACTATATGGGGAAGGGAGCACTGCAAATCTAGGAGCAAACATCAGGTACACACAAGCCAGCTGTGTGGGGAATAATAAGATGACTTTCAGCAAAGGAGGGATGCATGAGGAATAACATGTTTGATCCTACAGTGATCTTTATGCAGCACCCTGCATACACACAAGTGTTGAGATTCTGTGTCAGGACAACCTAACAGATAGGGTTTACCTTAACCTAAAGCAGCGGTATTTTTTTTAATCCATCAGCAGGCACCTGCCATTTTTCCAACTGCTCATTTACATATCAGCATCATCATATACAGGTTTGCAGGTTCAGATCCTGTGAAGATCTAACAGAAATGCTTATCCACATGCTGGATTACCATATGCTTTGCTATCAGTAGCCCACAGACTAATTTCCAGTCCATTGTGCTGGAATAATTCTGGGACAAGTGATTTGAAAAACTCTTTAAAGATTTTAAATAACACTGTTTTATTACCCTTCTGTTGCAAGAATTGTGAAACTTCCCCCCTCATAAATGATTAATGTAAAATTTAAACAATTCACAGCATACATATTTTGTGTTTGATTGTTTGAAGTCTTAACTGTGCTGGTTTTACCAATTATGAAAGGAGGCATATTCCTACTGGGAGGGTTTAATTGTTTTAATTTTTGGCCAATATGATTGATTTTATCCACATCCCCAAAATAGAATCAAAGTGCTTATGCATTGCTGGCACATTCTAGGGAGTTATACTTTTAAAAAAACAACAACAGAAGCCAAAAGATGCCGAAGAGTATTGCAAATTTCTACAATAGCAAACTGATCCAACAACATGGAAGACGATTGCAAAGCTTTCTATATACACATTTGCATGTTACATAATGAAGATAGTGAATGCAACCCTGAAAATATTTATTAGCAGTCCCACTGTACAAAGGAGACTAAAGTGGTTTCAGGATTGCAACCCACCTGTTGGGAGTGCTGATGCAAAGCATCTTTCTCTTGTTGCTGGCTAAAGTGTAACTTTGGTGCTGATGGGATCATTTTTGAAGCGATCCATTGCATTCATTTATGTGAAAAGTTACCTCAGAACTGATTACCCTAGTAATCTTTCCAAGAACAACCTTGTGATTAAGCCAAGAAGATTTCCTTGATGTTCTAACAACCTTACCACATGTACACATCCACAGAAACAGTTCACACATAATCCCATCAGCAACAAAGGTTAGTGTCAAAAGTGGTTCTTAATGGGCAATGATTAAGGTCAGGAATATAATTAGCTCATTGTAGGCAGCAAATCACAATTCTATGCTTGGCACCAAGGAAGTTTTCTTGCAGCTTGGTTTCTCACATAGCCTTCACTTTGATTTGTTTCATTTTCATTTGCTTCTTCTCGAGTTTCTTCTGTTCACGCCTCAAAGCAGCCTCCTGTTGGAAAGAGCATAAATTTTGTGAGATAATCTGATTGCATGTCTGTTTACAAAGGCAAAGAAACAAAGGAAATTAAGCTAACTGTACAGACTAATGGCCCTTACAGATTACATTTTTTTGTGCAACAAATATGCAGTTGTTACTTTGTTGATGTGGGTGATACAAACATTTTCACCTGGCTAGCGCTGTTGCTTTAGAGAAAAACTACATGGTTGCTTAGCGATTTTCTGTTTTTGCAGACAGAAAGGAATTCAGCACTGAACAAGATCCCACTTCCTGGGACCAAGAAGGCATGACTTGCTTAGGAAGTAGGACTTCCCAACTCCATCCTCAGGTTAGCTGACAGATATAAAACAGAACTATCTTGTAATTGGTAAACACTCCAACTGCATATCAGAGAATATAACTAGTTAAATAATGCCTAAAGACAACTGAACTTGTAGGACTGTCAATCTCAAAGAAACCTTTAACAGAAACCAAACTGAGAACTGAATTATTTTGCTTTTGGAAGGCATTTTTGTGTGAAGAAAGCTCAGATGGTTGCTCTAGAGATCTGCTCTAAGTGGCCTATCCCATGAAGGCTACTAAACCTGCTGCATTCTATCCTATCTGGCACTGTATGGTTAGTCAAGGAATATGCCAGAGAGATGGACCTAAAGCCATCTCAACAAAGTAATCAAGGAAGGGGAAAATGGCATAAATAAGGCTCTATACCGGCATATATGCAGACAGACCACAAAGATTGGGACAGACCTCAAAGTTTTGAGGCTATGTGAGACAATGAGAGTATGCTGCTCTATGTTTTAGAGTTGAAAGGCCATATACGAGTAGTACCAATATGTGAGCTCTCTGGAAACCCAAATGATTGGGGGATATAAATTAGGAATCTGTCTATTGCCTAATGCCCATTGTTCTGAAAAATGCAGAGCTCCCGCTCTTCTGAGAGGGCTTGAAGTTCTAACATAGAGATGCTTCCACTGCCAGAAAAAGCATCTTGAGTTACAGAACCTGAAACATACAACACTGTGAGGCTAGAATGTGGAACAAGGAAGCACACGGAGAATAAGATTCCAAGTAGAGAACTGATAGGCGAGTGGCAAGAAAGGAGCAAAGCAGCTCTGAAAAATATCTGAATCAGAGAATGCACAATGATGTGGTGACCACCTGAATCTTCAAGGCTGCTTGAAGCACAGTGAACTGGAGAAAAAAAACAGTATGCCCACAAACTGAATGTAAAAGACAAGATTTCCCTGCACAGTTATACCAGGTAAGCAGATGCCTTGTGCAAGGCCAGGAGAGTGTAAACTCTGGAGGTTGAAACTAACAGCAATTAGGGGCTGATTTTCAACCCTACAGGCAGACAAGATATTTGAATTTCAGGTGTGGGAGATGACCCTAGTAAAACAGATTTTGATGTTCAGGTAGTGTCCATGATTACAATGTAAAAGTCAGGGAGATCTGGGCCACCTGGGAGTGATCAAGAAGTATAGTCTGCTTTCATCTCTCTGGCTGTTCTTGCCATTTCTCCTGCTTGTGAGAAGGCCTGCAAGAGGCAATGGGAACTGCAGTGTTTCCACCAGAAATGACCTACTTTCGAAGTATCAGCTTCTGAAGTGCATTTGTATTCAAGGAAGGGAAGATAAACTGGGGCATATAACAAGGAATTTTCCCTAATTCTAACCAAGTGCTGAATGTTCTCCTGTTCCCAATGAGATAACTCTGTTTCACCAACACTTAAACTATGATGTTGTTTGGAAATTTTCATTAATTTCCACTAAACATATAGTGCTCAGGGTGGCAAGAAGCAGGTTTCTATTGCAATTTAGAGTGATGAGTTACATTGTGGTTGTACAAGTGTCAGGAGCACCTATCCGTTAATGCCTGTGCCATTCATGACAATGAGAAAAATATCCTCAATTTCAAAGAACGTCCAATTCAAAGTTCAATTTCAATTGTCAGTTTCAGAAAATGCTTTTAGAAACAATTCTCTCTTGGTGGTTTACCAAATTAGTGCTCCATGTCACAGTCTAATACATGAGCCGCACTACTCATTCTGACTAATTTAAAAAACAAACACCAAATCCTAGTAAATAGCAACCCTCCCAAGACCAGCAAGCTTATGCCCCTAACTGCCATTCAACTGCAGAGAGGCCATGTATCATGTTAATAGTGGTAGAATATCCTAGTTTCAGATATAAGAATTAATTTTATTTAATGGTTGACCAAAAGACCTGGTCAAAAGTCATGACTTTAGAAGTCAAACTACAATAGTTAAAAACATTTAAATCTGGCATGAATTTCACTGGATGGCCTTGCACAAGTGATTCTTTCTTAGTCTAACCTACCTAACATGGTTGTTGTGAAGCTGAATAATAACTCTGCTCCATGAGCTTTGAGCTGCAACAAAACCACAATAAAGCATTTATATTCATATTTGGCCTCCCCAAGTCAAAATAATTCAAGATGTCAAGAATGTTTTTGTTCATCTCAGAGTTAGTTCTGATAGCCATGGGCAAAAAAGGGGTAAACCACTTGTACTCATGTGAGAAGTATAATAGAAAACACATGAGTTCACATGATTCATGGGTCCTCTTCTATGAAAGAGTGATAATCTTAAATAAATGAGCTTATAGCTCCTATTTTGTGCATTCCATGTGTGTGTTTTGCCTGCGGGTTTTTGGCATGTGATTTGTCTCTGTGTGTGTTCTTTTGGCTGTGAAGTTGGTGGTTTCTCTGAACATCTCCTTTTTGTTTTATGAGATGGATATTTTGCTGTCTTTTGTGGGGATAAATGTGTAATTTGGCATTTGGATCCTATTATAATTACACTGCTTTCATATCCCACTTTTTTTTTTTTGCTTTATGATGAATTCGAGGCAGCTTATTTTATCCTCACAACAACAACCTTGTGATACAGGGAGAAAGTTTGTGACAGGCCTAAAGTCACCCAGTGAGTTCCATGTCTGAGCAGCGACTAGAACCCAGATGTCCCAGGACCCCAGCGCAACACTAACCACCAACCTTTGTCTTGCACTCAGCTTGTTGGACAAGAAACTATCCAAACTCCCATAGCAGCTATTTAGTACTGATACCGGTGACAATATCTCAAACTTCAGGAGGTATCAATGATCCAAAAAGATTGGGGATCCCTGGTCTGATACAATGAGCTCATTTATTTTACCTCCAGACGGCGCTGCTTCTCTGGGTCTTCCTCATTCATTATCCTCTCTTTCTCTGCCCGTTTCTTCTCTTCCCGGCGAGACTGAGCAGCCTCTTGTCTTTGTACATGAGTCAATTTCAGAAAATTTTCTTCTACTCGTGCCCTATTCTTATCTGCTTTTTGTTTGCCCTTTGTTCCAAATCAAGGAAAAATGCAAAGAAGTCATAGTTAGTATGGATAAAAATTTGTTCATTAGACAGCGCTACAATCTTTAAATATCACATGTGGCAAAACTTGGCCCTGAACTGGTCCCAAACTGGCTGGATTACAGTAATGTATCAGTCCACGCTAACACGCTCATGTGAGCTGCCCTGGATGACTCTGTGTCAGCAGGTTTAATGCACAACAGCTTCCCTCTGCCTAACAAGATTAAGAGGTCAGAAGTATCATACAGCAATTTCCCAGCACCGGAACTGGTTTTCTGTGGTCTTTCAGGCACACATCACAATGCAAGTTTAATTTCTAAAACCATACATACCAAGCCAACCTCAGAGCATCTAAAAAGCGCAATTACTCTTGCCTTCTTACCTACCCCATGTCTTGTTGCAAATAATGCTAATTATCCAACAGCACTATCCTAGGTGTGCCATGGTTTGTGCAGGGCAGGAAGGATGTCCATGAGAAAAGGGAAAACAATAAAGAATTGTCTTTGGATTTTAGAGCTGCCCATTAATATGAGACTCACAGATTAACCCATCACTTACTTCTCTATTTAGGCGGAACTTCTTTGCTTTATCAATGGAGTAAATAACCATGTTCATCAGAGGCAGCAGCGCTTCCATGTCTTTTGGGGAGGTGTTTCCTGCTCCAGGCACTATAAAGCAAAATGATACTTTCCTTGGATGAAGGGATATGAAAGCTGAAGTCCTAACCCTACTAAATCCCATTGATCATAATGAGACTTCCCTCTCCATATGCCTCTGTAGGCGTGGGCCATTAAAGAACATTACATAGCAGCTGCATGAAGATTCTGCACTACTCAGCTTTTAGAACAGAAGATTTAACTGGTGTTTAATAGTAGGCCTACCACCTGATTGAGGAAATCTTAACATATGTATGTTAACCAGTTTATCAATCAATTTTATATTCCAGGAAAACAGTTCAGCAGCACATACTTAATGTTATAGATGGCGTACATGCAAGTTGTTGCAGACACCAACCCAAAAAGGCATTTCTTCCTGTAGGAAAGTGAACTGCTCCTTTCAATTTCTGCTTACTGCCTGTAGCTTTTTATGAGGCCCCAGTATAAACTTTACCTATATTTGAAAATGTGTTTCCTAATTAATCAGGGAATCATTTAAATAAATTGAACACTTTTGAGCAATCTAAGCAACTAATAAAGGACCACTACTTTAATAAGAAGCCACAAACACATCAGGAACTAACAAAGGACAGGTAAGAATACTGCAGTGTATGCAACAGTTCTTTAAGACTTGGTTCACATGAAACAAACCATTGTCTAATTAACCATGGTTTGTTGAATCATGGGTTGCTGTTATATGGAAAGTCAAGTATGGGTTGTTAACCATATACAACCCATGAAAACTATCTGATCTGTATGTAATGGGCATGCAGCATGCTAAGCCACTCTGGGAATAAGCTGTACAGTATGGGTCATTCATAAAATAACCCATGATTATTATTATTTATATCCCGTCCTTCTGACAAGCACTCAGGACGGCTTACACAATATAAAATTACAATAATACAATAATAAAACCACAATTATTACAACAATATAAAACAGCATATTGTAAACTAAGAGAAAAAGGGAGGAAAAGAAGAGAAAATGCGACTGTGGGGAAGGAGAAAAAAAATCTTAAAACATCTAAAACCCTTGATTATTAAAATGATGGTTAAATAAAAAGGTCTTTACCTGGCGCCGGAAGGAGTATAATGTCAGCGCCAGGTGGGCCACTCTGAGGAGCGCATTCCATAGTCTGGGCGCCACTGTGGAGAAGGCCCGCCTTCGGGTAGACACCCTCCGCACTTCCTTCAGAGAGGGTTCCCGGAGCAAGGCCTCCCCTGCTGAGCTTAAGGGGCATGAGGGCATATAGGGAAGGAGGATGCATCCAACAGATGATTGGGCTTATATACAATACAAGCTATAGCCAATTTGGCTCTCGGAATGGTTACAAGATTAAAATGATTATCCCCTCCTTACCTCTTGGTCCTACAGCTGATATTCCACTCCCCTTCATGGCAGAATCTGACTTGCCTCTCCCTCCCTGTTCCAATCCTTTTTGTTTACCACTTTAAAAATGGTGCCTCAGAGATTTGCAATTGGACTCATTTTCTTTTCTACCCTCAACATGTTGCGCAACAAAGTGTTATTTTGGTCAGTATCATCTTACTTGGTGGATTCCCTTACATGTTCCAGCTGTTAAAAGGAGTTAAGTGCAGTAGGTAACATGCATGGTAATTAACAAGGTGAGACTGCATATTGTCTAATTTGTGCACCATTGCCAGAGACCAAGTTCCAAGTTGTCAATTGAAAAGCAATGAAAAGGAGGAAAAGTGCAGAAAAAGGTGCACCAAAAAGCAATGGGGGTGTGTGCGAATATCTCCTTCTTGGCAATGTGATGCTGTCACTTTTAAGTGAACCCTCTCAGTGCCCTCCAACCTTTTCAACGCTCCCACAAATCTCCAGCCATTCCATAAAGAGAAGATATTGGCTCCCCAACTTTTTACAGCACTAACTACAGCAGTAAGTGGTCCAAAATTAAGTCCAGAGTTACCATCTTTCCATCCTGGAGTAGCTGGAGAATCAGGGAAGAGTTGAAAACAGGCACTGAGAAATTTCAAAGAATTAAATTGCTAAGTGGGAGATATTGGTTGTGTGTCCCCACTCCCACCCCCATTCGATGCACTTCTTTCCCTATTTCTGGTGCTTCTCCATGGTGCAAATGTGTTCTTCCTCTCCCATAGTATTACTTTCCCCAGTCTTCCTCAACTGTTTGCAAATTAACTGATAGGTGGCCTCATCTTGTCAGCTCCCCTGTATGTTCCCTCCTCTACCTTACTCCCTTTGTCAACTGAAACATACAAGAAAATTGACCACGCCAGTCTATCCAGATCAGACAGCTTCTGTGCACTTGCAAAAGACAAGCCTTGGAATCTCAGAGTGGCTTTTGCACAAAAAAATAGGCCAATCTACAAAAAGTGGTCTGGGTATACATGATGAGCTATTGTGTTGTGTAAACTTAGACTGATTTCCATACAACACAAAAATCCACTGTGCCCAGCTGTCCACAAAGTGTTTTCATTTCATGTCATGTGAACTAGGTCACAAAGTCCAGGTATGAACATCACATCTGACTGGGGCTGAATATTCAAAAAGGTTGTAGAATGTGCCACAGCAATTTATCATTGATTAATTTACAGAGTTATCACATCATTGTGACTATACTTTTCCAGTTGCTAATAGTTCAACCCAAATCCTTACACATCTGATTTTCCTGAACCATCAATGATGATGGCAAAGTTGGATTTTTAAAATATTTAGCAATTAACATTTACACTCCAAAAGGTTTCCCAAGAACCTATTGCCTTTTCAGACAGAGAGCTCCTAGGGTGACCAATTAGGCGGTATTATGCAATATTTTGTCATTTCTTTCTTAACAGAATTGCTAGTTTAAAAAGGGCAGAAGAAGCAGTGAGAAAACATAGGAGTTAAAAAAGGAAGATGATGAGGTCTTGACCCTGTGTAATTCTATGAATATATGAAGTGATGAACCAATTGAAGCCTTATCTGGAAGCATCCCTTCTTTTATTGTTCCTAATCCATCTGCAATAAGACGCTGAGCTATTGTGACTGCCACACCATTAAGATAATGACTATTTGGAGTAAAAATACTACTGAAAACAGAACAAAGACTGACCCAGAAGGTTTCACAAGTTATACTCCAATAATAAAATAGACTTTCAAGTGGAAGTCTATTTTATTATTATTCTCAAGAAAAGCTGTTTGTAATCAAGAACCTGGACTTACCATTAAAAGTAAACAACAGTGTCTTTTTCGTTTCAGGCAGTTTCAAAGGCTGACCCTCCCTAGAAAAGAACAAAAAGATACACTGTCAGAAGGATATTAAAAATCCAGCAAATCACGTCAACAGGGCAGTAATAACGTCGCATCAGAAAGTACCACATGCCAGGCTCCTATCTGAGGTGAATTTGCACGTGCTATGCAGAAAAGGTCAACCTGCTGTATTTAAAAGTTTTGCAGAATTTTTCTCCAAATTTTTACAGTGTTCTTGAAGAACATTCTTGCAATATGCTTGTAAAAATACTTTCCACAATAAAACCCGCTTTAAAAGCTGGTGTGAGAAATCTGATCTGGCAATAGATTTCTTTGCCTCCACTGCAAAGTATCAAGCCTTCCAGAGACAAGCATGCTAGATATACTCATACCTCCATTGTGCAAACAGCAAAGAGGAGGACTCAGGCTGTCCTCGACCAGCAGCAAGGGGTATTTCACAGCAATCTGTTCTCTCCACTAAGGGGGACGGGTAGGAAGCGGCAACAGATCCTTGCCTGCTGCCTTGCTGTAACACAGACCACTTAGCTCAGTGCTGTTCAGTGCTTGATGAGACAAAACCACCTGTTCCTGCCTATCCTTTTTCCAATAGGTAGGAGTGGCAGCGGCAATACAATGGGCAACCATCAGATCATATCTTTTGCAGCAGGTCCTGAAATGCTAAAGGATACCTTTATTTAAATATATTAAATATTTCCACTCCTCGTGTTCAGAGCTGAGCTCTGGTGCTGAAGAAAACTGTTATAAATAAAAATGTGCATGTATATGGCATGCTGCATTCCAAATTCTTTGGACTACAGCTTTCAGAAGCACAGTCAGCATGGCCAATGCACAGGGATTACCGGAGTTGTAGCCCAAAATAATCTGGAGGGCACCATGTTGCCTAACTAAATAAATTACTATATGCATCACTCTGGAATTCCCAAGGCAGAACCATTTTGAATGGAAAGACAGCACAGTATAGATGTGGTTGTGGCTCCAGCAGACACCCTACTCTTTTCTTTGGCAAGAAGGGAACTTAAAAACTTCAGAGCAACATTAGTTTGGAAATACAATTGTTTATTGTGCTATACTCACTCTTGCATAAGTTTTGGACCAGAAAACTGGTCAGAAAAATGGACGGACTCTATCTTGTCAGCATAGTGTGTGAGGAAATGGATCATCTGCAAGGGAAAAAAGTTTTAGGGTCCTGAGGGAGTCATGATTTCTTATGAAGTTGAACACACCACCTGATAAGACTAGAAACTATTTTCTTCATTAGTTGAACATTAAAAGATACAGTAAACACCATACAGAGTCAAGTCAGAGCTTCAGCATTTGGTTACCAACAGCAATCTCCTTTGTCATTTTCCCTCAATATTGGCATTCAAAAATATACCACCTATAGACTTGGAAGGTCCCACTTTGCTAGCTCTCTCTTTCATTAATATATCTAGAAAAAAGTTTCTAAGTGTCAGCCAGCAGTGGCAGTGAATTCCACAGACTAATTAGTGAAACTGGTGAGGTATGTCATACTCGCTTTCTACAGATGAGGTACAGCAAAGTTAAGGCTAAGAAATAGCATGTGAGATTCAATGTCATCATTCAAAAAGCAAAATGCTATCTGATGATAAAGACTAAACTAAGGGAATGACTTTTAATCCCCAGGGGCCTAGACCAGCCAAGGCTCCTCATTTCAGATTTAGGGACACTTACGCAGATACACAACAACCTAAAAGATGCTATTTAGCTTATTGAATACATATTGTGATAAAATATGGATGCAGATTATTAACAAACGAGGAAAAGAAAAGCTTACAGATGTCGCTTTAGTGATAAGTCTTTCTAATGTGACTGATCTTGCTCCAGGGCACTGGTTACCCCAACGCCTTGCATGTTCTTGGTTCCAGGTGGAAAGCCAGTAAACAACACCTCTTGCTCAGAGAACACCTCCTCTTCCCAGTTTATACAGTTCCTCTCTCCCTCTGTTTCAGAGCCTGCCAGTATACACAAGCTCACCTGCCCCCTGCCACACTTTCTTAGAGAAAGGAAAAGAGAGGCTGACCCAATTAACTTCAGCAGAAGGATTTATCAACAGTTTTATCTCAGAGATGAGGGAAGGAATTTACAGCGCCTGGTAGCTGATGATCTCATGCATTCACTGAGGTCCTACAGGTTTCTCACAGTGATTAAGCCAAACAAGTATCTATGGCTACACTTAATGCCTGTTAGACATTGGGAACCATTCACACTCAACTCCTTGTCACAATAGCTCCTGGTTATTGATCCCAGTGCTGTTCTAGTCATCAGCTTCCCCCAGAACATTTGGATGGCTACCACTGCAAGAATGTGCCAGGCTAAAAGGACCTTTGGCCTACTTTAAAATGGCATATCCTGATATTTTAGTTGATAAGCATTATGGACAAGCAGTGTGAAATGTTCAGTCTCCTCATCAAAGTCTTGCTATATTAAATGCCAAGGAACTAACTATTATTTACAAATATTTTTTAGTATAAAGGAGGTATATGATTATTCTTTGTCATTACAATATTGTAAGGTACACTGGACTGAGAATTACACATATGCCTGGAACGATCCAGTGAGGCACACTCAAGGAACAGAATGGTGACCCATGGCTAAGGTGCTTGTCCACTGCACCATGCCAAGTACACCGTGCATCATGCCGAGATGTTGATCTTATTTCACTCAGCAATTCCTCCAAAGTGGAATGTCCCATTTTTCATACATGTTCATTTAAACATACACACATAAACAAATGAACAGGACTATTTTAAAGTGCAGCATTACAGAAGAGACCTCAGAAGGCAAAGCATAGTTTAGGCACTTGGATGCCTTTTTTTGGGTCCCCTGAAGTTTTGCACTCATTAAAACATGGATGTTTTTACCAATTACTTTCCATTACCTTAGTATCCATCATTCCTTCTGTGACCTCACCCATCTCTGATAGGATAGCCAATGATTCTGGAAGCCCGTACTTTGCTCCAGTCTTGGGTTTATCACTGCAGAACTCACTCTGTCAAAAGGAAATGACCGTATTATTAGAAAGCTGTGTGTCTTCCACTCCTTGTTTAAAGAAGTCCCTAGTCAATATAATACAATACAATACAATACAATACCAAAAGCAAAGGAACTGAGTCAAGTTCTCAAGAGCTAGAATTAAAGCCCTGCTCTATGTTGAAATTTTGAACATGGAATTTTTGATTAGGATTTTATGTTGTTCTGTTCATGCTTTTGCTGAGTGAACATTTCTTAGCCACAAGATCCAGCTTTGGAGAAAAAAGGAAAGCATGAACACCATTTTCATTTTGATTTAAATTAGATAACTTTATACTAATCTCCTTGAAGCTTCACAGTACATTATGGTTCTTAAAGGCACAAATGCAAGATTTAGGTGAACTTTCAAAACAAAAATGTTCCAAATCATCATTGCCACCCTTGCTCTCCCAGTCCTTTCAACAAATGTTTAAAAACCAATCTCATTTCTGGGTTCTTCCAGATGGAGGGCTACTAGCACTACTAATCAAGAAACACTGACTGGAAATCCATAAATTCTTTAAATCATGGAATGTCAAGGCCTAATGGCAGTGATGAAATGTTCTGCCTCTCACATGCGTGTCACTTCTGCTTTCA